GTCATAGCCAATGGGTGAACAAGCCAGAAATTCTGTTTAGGGAAAAGGGCATGCTTAGTGATTTTTAGTATGCATAGGTACCTTGCTAGGCATGTGAAAACCCTTATTTTACCCACAATACCACTATGGGGGTAGGTGTGGTAGTTTAGGGATAAAGGAGGAGAACTGAGAGGTAGGGATAAAGGAGGAGAGTTGAGAGGATGTCAATATCCAGAGGATTGCAAGCAAGGGTCTCTCAGGACAATGGCTCATTTTGGAACATGGCATATCCAGAAACTAGCTATCATTAGTAGTAGTGATGACAAATTCAATTACCAAGTGAACAGGCAATCTGTTCTGACACATAGGCCAGAGTACCAATTTATTTATTTGTCTGGGGATATTCACATCAAATGGGGAGTTGGTTCAACAAGCATTTCTTGAACACCTAATATGTGCTAAGGCCTTGGGAACAAAGATACAGAAGATGACATGGTATTTGCATTGAAGGATCTTTGAGTGTCACTGCATGCCACTGAGTGATGTGATGAGTGCTGGGTGGAGATGATGAGTCAGGGACAATCTAAAAGTGAGTCACACCCCAGTACAGATCTACCTGTTGGGGCAAACTCATCCAGAGCCTACCCATGGGATAGATGCAACGGCACTGAACTGGCTGCCCAGGAGATCTATAGCCTTTGCTCTCCTCCATCCTCTTCTGAGACATTGAACACTAATGATAATGGCTCGTGTACTCTGATGCATGCAGCACTGTTTGCTAAGTACCTTACATACATGACCTGGCAAACCAAATCTGAATTCCTGAGAGTGATAGTGTAGGCCTCCTATGATTGAGCCCCAACATTACATGCTAGCTTTTTCTGCTCTATATGCACCCTAACCTGCAGCCATATCACATTTCTTTCCATTAATTTCATGTTCTAGCTTTAGTTGACACGATATCTTCCACCTGGATTGCCTCAGTCTGTCATTAAGCCAGCCATCTTTCTATGTCCAGCTCACATGGCTCATTCTTCCTTGAAAATTTTCCTTGACAGGGATCTGTCTTCTGAACACCTATAAAACTTGGCATTTCACTCAATGGCACTTAAATCCCTTTAAAAAAATCATCTTAACACTCTTCATTCTGATTATAAAAGTAAAATGCTGATCAATGTAAATGACTCAAACAATAATGGTGAAATTTTGGTAAAAACATCACACTCCTCTCATTTTAAGTTCCTCAAAGACAAGACTGTGTTTAATTCATCCTGATATCCCCTGGAATCTGCTCACTTTAGCGCCAGAATTTCTACTCCAGCCTTCGTTCATAGTAAGAATTACAAAAGTATTTATTTATTTGAATAAATGGATTATACTTAGGGCTTTTATTGCTAAACCTAGAGCTGATTTTAAAAATTTATATGAGGTTTATGATTAATGATGCTATTAACATATCTTTACTTCTAATATTATAATACCTCTTCTCTAAAAAATTACTGATATAATTATTTTGTTGCCAGATTAATGCAACGCCTGTGCTTTCTTGGAGTGTCAGGCCAAATCCATCTCTGATTATTTGCTATTACTGGAAAGTTTATTGCCTCTATCTTCAGACCACTTTAGAGATGAATTACTTTATTCATGCTGAAAATGTTTCAGTACTCCGGGTTGTTCACCTTTCAAAGTTCCTCAGGTATCTGTAAGAATTTGTAGTTAAAATATTCCAGGGTTGTAGGTCTTAACGTCATTGAAAATTGACTGCACATTTTTATCATTAAATCATAAGCATCAGGTGACTTTCACATTTCTGCTGAAGGCATGTTTCTTATTAGGGTAAAGCTGTTCAGTCTGTACAATTAATGGTTCATAGCACACTAGGGAACATTTATTAATTTTCATTTTACTTGTTTTTTGAAGGTTATGGGGTTTAAGGGTTCTAAGTTGGACTTATTGAAATTTTAAAAGGTGTAAATAGGTAAATATTATGGTTCCTGAAAAAGTGCGACATTTTTCCCTTTGAGCATGTGATTAATATTACTAATAAAAATGTCATCAGCCTTCCCTACCAGGGTGCTGCTGTTAGAAAGACATTTTGTGTGTACATGTGTAGTTTGTTTTCCATATCTAATATGACATTTTGAGAGACAACTTAATGTAAGAAAATTACTTTTAAAAATAGATTCTTGATGCTTTGTTGCTCTTATGCAGTAATTCTAAAGGAAAAATTGTATCTTCCTGTATATTTACTTAAGATTTTGCTTGACTGCATTTGGTGCTTATATCAGTGTTTGAGAAATAAGAATTTTGTCTCTCATCAGATCATGCAACATGAATACCATTCTTGTTGAAGATTGAATTTCTGGAAAGCAGGCCTCCTTTCTATGCTTTTGTGGATAGATCATTTATCTTATAGTTAAACTTGGTTTTATTCATAAGCTAGTTTCTTAAATTATTTCTTATGTTACTATTCATAGTACATGGCATTGGTTATATATAGTAAACTTATTTTGGCTTAGATCAAGCAATACTTTTTAAACAGCCATATTGAGATATAATTGGTAAACCATTATAGTTCACACATTTAATGTGCACAATTCAGTGGTTTTTAATCTAGTCACAGAGTTGTATAATCATCACAAACATCTAATTTTAAAACATTTTTGTCATCCCCCAAAAGAACTCCCATGGCCCATTGTCAGTCACTTCCCATCAGCCCTAGGCAACCACTAATCTACTTTTTTTATTTTTTGAGACAAGGTCTTGCTGTGTTGCCCAGGCTGGAGTGCAGTGGAGTGGTCTCAGCTTACTGCAACCTCTGCCTCCAGGGTTCAAGCTATCCTCCTGCCTCAGCCTCCCTAGTAGCTGGGACTACAGGTGCGCACCACCATGCCCAGCTAATTCTACTTTCTATCTTCATAGATAAAGCAGCATTTTAACAACACATCTTAATCATCTCAAAGTTTTGGTGATTTCATGACCTTATTAAAACTAATATATTCAATATAATATTCAGGTATATAATGGCATTTTTCATCTTTTACAATTTTTATCTTTAAAATGAAGCATCTGGTTTGTCACAATTTCAAATCCACAGTTAAACGGCGGGAGTGTTAAGTTTGCCTGTGCTGCCCTTCTTCTTGATTAAGAGTTTTACATTTGCACCTACACCAATGCAGAAATGTTTAAGTTAGAAATATGGTGAATATTTGAATGGTTAGCATGAAACATACTCACAGCACAAAGTCTGAGGCAACTGTATCGTCTTTCCTTTTTATTCTTCAGTTTCTTCTCCCTCCCTCTCAACACATAAACACACACACAGACACACACTCACATTCATACACACGTGCATGCACATACACACACACACAGTAGTCGAGGTCACACTTACTGAGCAGAATTTATCCAGTGACAATAAGAAGTAGCAATATATGTCTAGTATTGATATATTATTATGCAGACTGTAAAAATAACATGTGTTGTGTATTTTGATTGCATACATATATGGCTTATTTTTAAATCAGTGGGAGTTACAGAACATTCTCTAGAGGTTAGAAGTGTTAAAGCAGAAAGCAAAACTACATAAAATAGTATTCTAGGTAGATGTTTGATTCTACCTATTTTATTCATGGTATTATCAAAAAACCTGGAGATCATTCAACTAGTTAATCATTTGTTCCACACATATTTATTGATTAATGACAATATAAAGGGCATAGTGCTAGACCCAATAACAATAAACAATAAACAGCTAGAATTCCGCTTCCTCAGGAACTGTTGTCCAACTTCAGAACATAAAGGAGAGGCCTTTCTTTCACAAGGAAAGAGCCAATGAATCATGAATCTTCCTTTTTCTTAAAAAACCACAGCCTGTATTTTACTCGAAAATTCAACATAATTGGTATATACCCATCTTTTTAGGTGAATTAGGCCTTAACTGACAGATAACCCACTTTGTTCTAAAATTCAACAAACTCTCAGAAAATCTTATTCCACACAATCTTTTGAATATGTCATTTGCCATTTATATTTGATGGCCTTAAGAAAAAAACTTATAAAAAGGTATTAATGCAAGTAGATAATAAAGCTGAATTCTATAAATCTATAGCAGCTTACAGTAATCATTAAAGCATGCAAAAGCCTTTCATCTATTCAAAAATATGCAGTGCACAGAATGTCTGCTAAGGTGCATGACAAGTCAGAGTTAAATATATATTAATAAATGAATTAGCTTCATAAATAATAGCCATAATGACATTTTAGGAGACAATAAGTCTGAGGATTGTCAGAAAACGGTTGATGTATGAGCTTCACGTCTCAGTGATTCTTCAAAATGAATAGGCTTTGCGAGATAGTTCAGACCCGCGACCAGCCTATTTCCTTGAATAATTTACTTGTTGTCAATTTGTACAGCCACATTACACATGCAAATTGTGCTGCCTGTGCAAACACCACTTGGAGATGATAAAAACAAATTTACGAAGGCTATAGAAGAAGGATTTATTTCACTTTCTCACCCAGGTCAAGCAATACATGTATCTGACGATTGTGTGTACCCAATTTTGTTGTAATTATATCAGCAAATTATTCCTTATAATCTTATTATTTTTAGCAGTCTCCTTGTGCTTGGGATAATTAGCTTTCTTCACTCAGTGTAAAAACAATTCAACTTGCCAGCCAGGTAGGGCATAGCTCCATTATCTGTTTTGGGTTTAAATTTATTCCCTATATTCTTGGACACTTTGTGTAAATTAAAAATTTCATAGTCCCTAATACTGTACACGCTGTTCATTCAGTGATGAATTAAGGCCCCTAAACCTCTCCGTTTGCTATTAGATATCTCACCCACTTTATATGTTAATCTGTGCTAATGAATTCCACAACCCCTAGCCACAGTGAGATGACTAAAATTATTACCACTTACAGAGATATGCCTTTTTCATTTAAAGTTCAATTCAAATTGCTCGCATAAACAGTCTGCCACACAAAGATACCTCCTATAAAGGAGAGTTACTTACCTATAAGTAGAGTTCTCTGAAGGTAGTATTATCTTTGGATGCACATTCCTGGGTCACGTGCCCTCAGGTCTGTGGCATGGGGGGAGAGAATTCATTGCTGATGGGCAGGTCTTTCTTTGCTTGGGGCCCTTCATTAGCTCTGTGGCCTGTATTCCTGAGGGTTTTGTGCCACGCCCCTTTACCCAACCAATCCTGTCCTTAGCACAACAGACCCAAGGGAAATAGTGGGGTAACAGAACCACCTAATGAGAATTGTAGGACTGGTTACCATCAACGATACTGAGAAGCCTGAAGCAGCCTCCATTGTTGAAGTTACCTGTAAAATAAAGTGCCCAGTAACTAAAAAAAAAAAAAAAAAAAAATCTAGTTTCTTTTTACATATACTATATAATCTAAAATCTATACTTTTTTTTACTTTTTGCAGAAGTAGCATTTTCATTATGGAAATAATACATTTTCATCATGGAAAACTTGGAAAATATAGATAAACAAAAAGAATAAAAATCACACATACTCCCACCCATGGTCCCACCGTGCAGTGATAGGCACAACTGGTTTCTGGCATCTATGTTTACAGACCAGTTTTCTACTTAGATACTCTCATAAGATGACAACAAAATCACTAGTTATCAGGTCCCTTTTCAACCCTCTCCAACCAGAGGTTCTAGGACAGGGCGCCTACCTCATTTGCCCCTACATCTTCCACTTAACCCATTTTAAGAACGCTGTCTGCATTCTTCCTCTAAAGTTGAGTGATTCCTCTAAAGTTGAGTAGAGTTTTGGGTGCTGAGCCCTTTGCTCCTTCCGTCTCTCTTTCTTCAACAGAACATTCAAACAAGTTCTCATCCTGCTTTAGCCCTAATTTACTTTCTATAATTACCACCTTCTAAAATAACCTTTCAGAAGTGATGCAGTAAGACACAGAGTGTAAGCCACAGTCTGAGGTTAGCCCTTGGGCCAGTCCTCATTGTACCTTGCACACCTGGATTGTCTCAGTGGTACCGACGGTACTGCCCTTTCATTGCCCCCTCTGCATTTGATCCTCACAACTGCTGTGCAAACTGGCAGAGCACGAGCTGTTATTCCTGTTTTGCAGATGAACATATAAAGTCTGGGAGGTTAAGCAACTTGCCTGGGAGAAAAGAATGAGTATCCAGGTCTTTGCAACTCCTGAACACAGGACTCTCCATTTTAATTCTTGCCCTTAATTGTTGCTTATGATTTTGGAACTTAGGGCAGTTAGTATGTTTTCAGTATTTCTCCTTAAAGATGGATTATTTTCTAAGGTAAATCTTTGGAAATCTTTTTGGTTAGGGATTCAGAGCTTCATACATTATTTTATTTTGAGGTTCCTTAATTATGTATTACCTTGAGAAGGCTATTTACATAAAGCAAATATTTTGCTTTAGGAGAGTTTATAATAGTCTACCTTTTATAGGATTCCCTGCTTAAAAGTCAAAACAACTTCTTGGGAATAAGAGTTTTCCAGTCTATGGTTAAGAAAATACTCACAGATAAACTTAATTCATTATCACAGCTGGATGCAGTATCATCAGGATCCAACCTGAGCCCTTCCCACTCTGTGCTTCTCTTTTTGCCGCAGGGTCACTTACAGCATTACACACTCACACAGTTAAGATGGTAAATCCCATGTGATATATAGCATGGGAATAACATTAACTTAGAGGAACCATTTAGTACATTGTTTGAAAATGTGAAGCCATCACATGGATGATAGATTGAGCAACCTACAATTAACCTGAGTTAATATTTGGCAGAGCCAGATGGACAGCTCTTAACTTTTAATCTCACCAAAGTGCTTCATGTTCTTCATAAATAAAGAATAACAAAAACAAATGTACTTTAATTCATCATCTTCTCTGGAACATGGTGTGTTCACCTAATTGTCTTATCTCCATTTGTGAACTGCAAATGTGAGTTTGGTTGCAGCAAGACCAAGCCCAGAAAATCGTGAAGTAGGCAAGGGTGGCTTTCTGCATCTCAACAATCCTCAGGAGCAACTCCTTTCTTCCTCCTCCCAGTGTGCCGTGGCTTCTTCTTCTTAGATGCCTTTGGCTTACTAGTTCTCTTCTCATTAAAACCACCTTGCCTGAACCCAGATGGTCATTCGGTTTCACTATAGTGCAGTTGGATAATGAAGTTTATTGTGTTCTCACCCCCGGAATTATTTTTGTTTTGACAGGGGAAATCCTTGGCAAAGATATTTAGGGACCAGGAAGATGTTCCCAGTCACCATCAAATGATGTGATTTGGCTCAAAGTTCTCAATTGTTATGCATGCCATTTTGGTTGTAGAATTGTAGAATGCCATGTGGAAGATGTGGGTACCTTTTCTGGTTTACTCGTATACTAGATGGGGATAACAAGAAACCTCCCTCCTATAACTGTTGGGAGAATTCAATTAGTGTGTGTAAAAGCACTTGGAATAGTTTGGCAGTTAGGAAGGACTCAGTTCATTTTTAGACATTCCTTCCTCCTCGCCCTTCTTTTTCCTAGGAGAGGCAATGTGGTATAGCAGAAAGCACATGGGCTTGGGAGTCAGGTGATCCTAGGCTCAGATATAAACCCTGCCATTCACTAGTTATGGAATCACAAGCACATAACATTTTCTGAACTTTAATTCCTTTAATCAAGGGATAGAGTATCGCATATGGTTGCACGAAAATTAAGTGAGATAATGTATATGTTATGCTTAGCAAGGTGTTTTGTACCTAGCAGACATACATTAGTGAATTATTATTATTAATGCTAATAAACGCAAAAGACATACATATATTGAAGTTCAACAGCACAATTTTTAAGTTATTGGCTCTTGTAGTCATAGTTACATAGTTAAGTGTAACTATGAATGTCACCTTGTTTGCATATAGTAAGAGTTTCTAGGCTTATGAACCCTAGGTATCGTTCTTTCTGTATTTCCCTGCTATCCAAAACAAACAAATTAAAAAACCTAATAGTATTATTTGGATAAAACATTTTAATGAAGTATTAGGGAGGTGTTAATGAGTGGATTGTTGAGATAAAAAAGATGTAATATATGGGAAAACATGAAGTATATGTTAACAAGACCTCAATAAACAATAAAAGGAAAATACAAAAATTCTTTTAAGCAAAATTACGGAGAAAGGCCTTTGAGCTTTAATTGAAGAAATTAGCAAACTTTGAAAATTCTTTTTGCAGCATCTTTCAAGTTCTATTACCAGTTAAATTAGTTTATTATTGTTTTAAAATATATTTTAAATAATTATCTTTATATCAGAAAAATAAACAGTGTGTATATACCATATACAATAATAATATATAATCTACTTTACAATAGTTTTAGAGCTGTTTCATTAAATTGGTTCTAGCTGTTTCTATTAAACTTCCTGAATTTCATTTTTTTCCTTCCTCCATAGAATCAACGGCCAAATCCTTATATTTGTTTCCTCTTTTTCATCTTTTTCCAGTCTATGCCTGGAACGGAAAACACAGTCTTTTGCTTTTGGGTTCAGTCCTATTGCCAATACCTTTTACTTTATTATTACTACAGCCAACTACCAGTCTTCCCTAACTACAGTCTATAGGCCTCTATTTTCCTGTCTCATAAGAGTCTCCACGATTTGAACTATATTCAACTTTCCCATTTTTCTGATTATGAAACTAAGGCTGAGGGAGGTTTAGCATGTTGAACATAGTCATACATGTCTTTGTGCTCTCAAAGTTCTAGGTCTTATCATTTAACCATGCTACTCTTTCCTAAACACGGCCTAAAATTTCCCAAATTTTTCTATGAATTTTCCTATCATATATACCTATTAAGTTCTTTACTTCCTTCTAAGGCCAGTATATATCCTACCTTTACCACAAAATTCTCTTGAAATCCTGAGCTAATTGCATTGCTTTCTATTTACTGTGATCGTGACAGTTTTATTTTAATATTAAGTTCAGGGTACACGAGCAGGTTTGTTACACAAATAAACTTGAGTCAAGAGTATTTGTTATACACAGTATTTCATCACTCAGGTATGAAGCCTAGTATTCATTAGTTATTTTTCCTGAACCTCTCCCTCCTCCCACCTTCCACTCTCCGATAGGCCCCAGTGTGTGTTGTTCCCCTCTCTGTGTCCATGTGTTCTCACAGAATAGTTTGTTCTAATTTCAATATAGCACTTAATATTGTTTGCTTTATATTAAAGTTATTTACATCTGTCTGTATACTCAACTAGATTTTAGATTCTTGGATAGCAGGGAGAATGAGTTATCTGTCTTTTTAAAAAAATCTGTTTTCAGACAAGTGTTCTTAGAATTGTCTGTCTTATTTAATTATCCTCCCCTTTCATACAAAAATAGTGTCCTCCAAAGTACTTTAACACTAATAGATTTTAAGTCAATGTTTAAAAAATCGAATTAAAATTTTATTTTAAAAGAGAAGTGTTGTGCTGTTTTTGAGAAATCTGTGTTTTTTCTTTTCTAATGGCAAATTTTAATGGAAAAATAGCAATTATTCATTAAGCGTTCTTACATAGGATAACTTTTCTCAACAAGGATATATTCTGTATAGCTAAGAAAAATGTATGCTAAGTTTACTTGTTATTTGTCATTTAAATATTTACCAAGTTCCCAACATCTAGCACTACAGATAAATAATACAATTGTCAAAGTAGTACTGAACATAAAAAGTAACAGTCTTTGATCTTAAATAATATAAACTAAAATGAATAAACTCTAACAATAACAATAATGACGATGAAAAGACTCCATGAAAAACACAAGGGATGTTTAAAAAGTTATGTGCCTGTCTGAATTACAAACACTTACAATTCCCAAGTAAGCTTCTATCTTACCAACCTTTCCACACATAATATCTGTGGACTCAGGAAAGAAGCAAAATAATTGTTTGAAGGCATTGGAGAAGAAAAAGAGCAGGCAGATACTGGAGAGGTTACTCAGAAGAAGAGGAAGACAAGGGATTAGTTTACCTTTTTTATTATTTCAAGCTTTTATCCTGAGACCAGGTCTCAGGATAGGGTAGGAAGGCTAGAAATTGAATAGGAATCTTACTTTGGGAACGACTTTGGGTCAATAACAGCTGCTAGAAAGTGAAGCGGAATCTTTAAAAGTGAGGCAGAGGGGGTGAGCCTAAATTCTACATATAAGCTATGCATATAATCTATGCATATAATCTCTGGATGACTGTTGAATTATGCAAGTGAGGGCAAACTTTAAGGAGTCCGGCTAAAGCTAAAATAAGTGAACTTAGACTTGAGCTGCCACTTATTACAAGGGAGACAGAGCTTGCACTATGGGCTTAACC